TGCGGTGCAGACTACCGACGCCACCTGAGTTTCCATGGTGAGCGTCGGGTCCAAATATATGCCGAGGCTGTGGACCCCACTCTTTGCAGCCAAGGCGGTCCCCCCAAATGTAAGAGAGCCACCCAAGCCACCTACCACGGGGGCACCCACCCTCAGAACTTCCGTCTTATCCAGATTCAGCCTCAGTCCGTTCTCCTGCATCCATTGCAGTACGGCCCCCAGGCAACGCTGAAGGGAAAGGACAGCATCACCTGCAGTGGGTGAAAAGGAGATGTAGAGCTGGGTGCAGCCAAGGCGGTCCCCCCAAATGTAAGAGAGCCACCCAAGCCACCTACCACGGGGGCACCCACCCTCAGAACTTCCGTCTTATCCAGATTCAGCCTCAGTCCGTTCTCCTGCATCCATTGCAGTACGGCCCCCAGGCAACGCTGAAGGGAAAGGACAGCATCACCTGCAGTGGGTGAAAAGGAGATGTAGAGCTGGGTGTCATCGGCCTATTGATGACACGAAGCCCCACATCCTCTAATGACCCCACCCAGCGGCCTCATATAGATGTTAAACAGCATTGGGGAGATAATCGACCCCTGTGGAACCCCACAATTGAGACTCCACGGGGCCGAGACGCTCTCCCCAAGCTGAACTCTCTGGGGATGGTCCCCCAAGAAGGAACGGAGCCAGGCAAGTGCCGAGCCACCAATTCCCAACTCAGAGAGCCTCTCCAGGAGGATACCGTGGTCGACGGTATCAAAGGCCGCCGAGATGTCAAGGAGGACCAGCAGATATACTACAACTTCTCCTATAATCACTAATCACTGGCCATGTCAGAAGAGGATGGTGGCATCTATAGTCCAACAACATCTGAGTAGAAAAGCTTTGAACTCCTTCCTGTTATTCCTCTTAATAACATCACTTACCACACTAAGCTTTTTTCCTATTAGCACATTCCTCCGACCAGGATTATACTTCAAAAAAGTGACATATAAAACTTTAATCATTACCTTTAAATCTCCTCTCAATTTGAATAAAATCACTAACACTTTCCAAAGCATGTTCTGTGTCCAAACTGCTCAAACTTGAAATGCAATTGAAGTGCAGGAAAATTAATACACAGAGAGTCTCGGTAATATTAACAAAATTGTGCACATCTAAAGGAGGAGGGGTTGGCATTGAGCAAGATGATACAGTGCCTCATTTGCCACCATAGTGATATTCTGTGTAAGGAAATGTTCTCTATTTGTTTAATTCAATCTATTCAGTTTTAGGACAGCAGATAAACCATGTGACACCTGACAAAAATGTCCATATCTAGTACTTCACATTTAAAGCCAGTGCAACATATTTAGTCAATATGCAATGCCAGCACCAGTTAAGAACAGACCCTTCTGCTCTCAATACCCAAGTAAATTCAACTGGAAATCTTGGATTTAACCTCCTTAGTCCCACTGGAAGCCTGAAATATTCACCATCATTGAAGCATTTTAATATGGATCTTCAAGTGGCTTTCTTTCAAAAATATGCTCATGGTGGAATTAACTCACACATTTCATACATTACAAACATGGACTCTTAAAATACCCCTTCAATTCTCACTATACACATCAGTGCTCTGCATCATATATTACAGAGATAAGTTTAATATTCTGCAAACGTATTTGAACCTCTACAATTAAGAAAAAAAAATTTCTCAAGATTATCATTTCTATAAAACCACTTATGAAATTAACTAAACAAGTTTGACATAACATATACAGTGGTACCTCGCTAGACAATGTTAATCAGTTCCATTGAAATCGCTGTTTAGCAAAAACATCATCTAGCAAAAATCGTTTCCCCATTGGAATGAATTTAAACCCGCTTAATGCGTTCCAATGGGGAAAATAGTTGTCATCCAGCGAAAATCGCCCATAGGGAAGCCATTTTGCGAAGCGCCGATCAGCTGTTTAAATCGCTGTCTTGCAAAGCTTTGGTCCCGAAAACACCCATTTCGCAAAGATCGGCCATAGGGAAGCCACTTTGCGGAGCCACTGATCAGCTGTAGAAATCGTCGTCTTGCGAAAAAACAGTCTGCGAAGCACAGACCAAATCATCGTCCAGCAAAATCCCCCATAGGAAAGACCGTTTTGCGAACTGCTATAGCGATCACAAAAAGTCAATGTCTAGCGAAAAAAACGTTTTATGGGGTAATCTTCTTGTGAGGTACCACTGTACATACTTAATTTAACCATGGCAAACTATCGATACAATTACTCCATTGTTTTGAAACAAAGAGAACTTATCTAACAATATTCTCACCCTCTTAGAATCTTTGACAAAGTAGCTCCCACTGGACCCCTGGGAGATTCTCTCTGGAAAAACTCCACATTCTATGGCTTGTTCCACTCGCTGCATGATTTCAGCAAATTCAGGATCTTCATCCATAAAGAAATTCATCTGTGCTGTATATCCAACATTTCCTGTATGTATTAAATAAGCATTTTAAATTAGGGCTGACAGTTGATGAAATGATTTTAGATAATTGATCAGTTCAAAGTGCTATTTATTGTTTACATTAAGCACATAAAGTTGTCTAAGAGTCATGCAGAAAATAAAAGTTACGACAACCTGTGACTGTAGACTCACAGCTAGACAAGCTAGAAAAGAACAAGCAATGATCAGGGAGAAAGAATGTAAGTAAATTCAGCCAGTTACAACAAAAGACCAAGAAGTTTATTACAACTGCTTTTTGAGCTATTTATACTAGTGACAGTTGCCACTCATTGCTATTTAATATTTTATTTTTCATTCTCTGTTATGGCAGTGTGAGTTGGTATAATTCAGTGCACAGGAGTTCAAATCACTACTGCACCTGCTGGGAGAGGGGTCAGTCCCAATCACCCTGAACATGTGTGGTTGAGGAAGTTAACTAACCTGCCACCTGTGTGGCCTTCAGCAAGTTGGTAGTGATGCTATAACGCCATTAGAAGGAAGTGATTTATTTCCTATATGGGATGGTTGCTGTAAGTCACAGTTGACATGTTGGAATATAGTTATGGCAACACATCAGAACCAAATATATGAAATACGCCTCTATCGCCCCACTAATTAAAATGTCCTACCTGTATTAATTTCCCTTCAACCTTTATCTCATGAAAAGATTTTAAAGTATCCTCTTTTGCACCCTTGTTCCATTTACTCAGAAATGTCCTCTGAACGGAAAAGAATCTTCCTTTGCTTTATTTGTGTATACTGGACTGCATCCTTACTTTCACTCTGATTTTTCTTTCCTTCACTGAAAAGCAAATGCTATACTCATACAATATGACAAAGAAAAGGCAAGCCTTACGAGGTAGTGCAACAGACTGGATCAACCCTTGTGCACTCAAGACACAACTGGACAAAAATGCAATACAGGCAAACAAGTAGGATGTGTTTGGGATGGGTGGAAGTGACTAAGAAAGATTACAAAACTTCATGGAGTCTAAAAGAAAACTCCATGTTATTCACAATTACTGACTGTGACAGCTCAATGGAATCGCAATACTGTATGCCTGTCTCTACCAGATGCTGAAAACAGAATAAAACTACAGTATTGTCTTCATACACTACTATGTGTGTAGAAGTATCTCACTATTTGAGCCTGGAAAGTTTTCTGTAATGCAGTGGCTAAAAGTCTAAGTCCAAGGCACAAATTTATGAGTGTCCAATTCACATCTCACTTATGCTGTGAGCTCACCCTGTCCCGTCTGCAATATACTGTACAAATAACACTGACCTGTATATCTGAGAAGATTCTCAATCATCCAGGTGAGGTTATCTGGAAATTGGGTCATGACAACTGGACTTCTTTCTTGTTATTTGACACATTTCGCTACTCATCCAAGTAGCTTCTTCAGTCTGAGAGTTGGTAGGAGACCCCTGATATATATTATGTATCAGATGGGATATCCCAGGGGACTCCTACTAACTCTCAGACTGAAGAAGCTATCTGGATGAGTAGCGAAATGTTTCAAACTAACAAGAAGTCCAGTTGCGGTGACTCAACTTCCAGATAACTTTGACCTGTGTAACAGAGCATTTCTAAGGACGGATGAAACTTTTTACATGTAGAATGACAGAACAGGACACATTAGGCCTCACAAGGAGCGTTTGTTTCTGATTTATTTACAACACTTATACATCTTAGTTTACAGGCGTGCCTGTATGGGTGGCACAACATTCCCAAAGGGGGGGGGGAAATACCCGAAGCGAAAGCCTAACGTGCCTCGAAACACAGCGAGAGGCCAACCCCCCTGTTGTAGCAGCGGACTATTCAAAATCAATTTTTTTAAAAAATGGGCCTCCTCGCGTGTAAATTTGCATCCTCATGAAAACAAGGCCCCCAGAGAGCGTCAGCGCGGAAGTCGCTCACCTGAAGCGGCCAGGCCCTCCCGGGTGGGGCGGCTCCTCGCTCCGGCCCCCGCGCCCAGGAGCGGCTCCGACTCCTCATCCGACGCCTCGCCTC